ATTATAATAAATTATCTTATTATTTATATAACTTTTCAAAATATACTGTTATTAATTTTAATATGTTAAGCAGTCAAAGAAATCTGTGGTATTTTGTAGTTTTTTTGGGTTTTTTTCTTGTTTTCTTTTTTCCTTTTTAGTTTTTTTCCCTTTAAAATTATATTTTAAGAAGTAGTTTTAATAGCAGTGAACTATTTATTTCAGTGAAAAAGTTTTGTTATCTGATCAGAGCTTTTATAACTTGTGAAATACAGTGCCATGAGTGGCGGTCATAAACTCTCTCCACCTGTCAGAAACTGTTTATTAAATTGGTCATCAGGAGTGTCATACGATACAAGTAATAGCTTCAAGTGTCTTAAAAACTGGTCAACCTGTCCCCTAAATTTTCCTGTAATTTTCATGAAATATGATGATCATGCTCACTTTGTTGACCCCTAACACTCCTATGTTAACTTCACTTTTCATTGTAATAATTACAAAAATATCGCAGTCCTTTTACCTGCAATGACACCAATGGAATGATTTTCATGGGAAAGGAAGTCGTTTTTATAAGTTTTCGAAACACTTTCTAAAGAGCTGTCTACTTTTAAACAGCATTTAAGACTATTATCCATGACGTTTTGTAAGGAGTTTTACAAATGGTCATTTTGATGTTTTATCTCCCGTCGCCTCTTTACACTTAAATTTGTCTCCAAAGTACTGAATGTTATTGTTATTTAATGTTTGTAAAAGGGTTTCATGTGTAAAAAGAAACTGTGTTTCATTTCAAACAATTTTTAATTATATTATTTGCTTTAATTATATAGCCTGTCAGGAACCCGGAAAATCGCAAATCAGACCTTGACATATTACAGTCCGGGTATTTGTTAGTTCTTAGATTGCTGGATCTTAATTCCAACCGACACAATGTATAATAATTAAACTTTCTAATAACTTTTTTATATAAAATCAAAAACTTTTAAAACATTAATTTTGTTCTACTATTTTACTTGATTGTGTGATCACCATATGGCTGAATGGTCCTAAATGTGCTTATATTTTGTACAAGTTAATTATAAATAGTAGTATTCATTAGATTCTTGGATATTTTGCCTCCTCGGACATTTGCCCCCATATTTTGCTGCAGCGGACATTTACGCCTTCATAATTTTTATGTTTTGAAAAGGTAGACATTTACCCTCAGAAAGAATTTGGAGGGAAAACAGTAATTTTCCCCCTGTTTTAGAAAATTTAATGGGCAGAAAATTGCTATTTATTTGCAGATTTGTTCCATTTTCTTAAGAGGTGTCACTACTGTTTTCTTTATACTTGTACAAATGTTCCACCAAGTAGCTTAAAGTTTTTTTAACATTTTTCTTTTCAGTTCTGACTGTTTGAAATCTGATGAGTTACACATGTGTTACTTTTTAATCATAAAGAAAAGAAGTACTTCTGGTTCCTCAGGTTATATTTTAAGCATTGTCATGCACTGAGTTGATTTATGTTTTAATATTTTAGCATGGAAATTAACTCTATAAATTAAATCAGTGAAAGCCAGCTGTTATGTTCTAAACGTTTGATATGGCTCTTTTCTTCTCAAAATAATAATACAGAAAAGAGGTGGCAAGATTTTAATCTTAAATTTAATTTATTATGTGAGTTGCTTCAAGAAGTTGATACATTTTAAATGAGGTTATTTTAAGACTTTCTTTCTTTCTTTCTTAATTTCTATCTTTCTATTTTCATTTACTTGTATTTTAGTCCAACTTGGTTAAACAGGGTATTTTCATCCTATCACTTTTTTTCACCAAGTTTAAAAAAAAGTCCTTACGGCATTCTTAAAAAAAACTGTTTAAACTTATATATTTATTTAGCTGATTGCTGACCAAGATCTTACAACTTATATTAATCATTTTCGAGTCCCTTTCCTGAAACTAACCAGAACTGGTACATGGTCGTGACCCGAATAGCGCTCGAACCCATGATCCCTGGGTTGAAAGGTAGAAACTTTAAGCACTACAGTCACAGCTCCCCTAACTTTTTGAATATGAATATTCTTGGTTCAAAGATTGTTCAAATTTCACTCATAAAACAAGGTAAATGTTTACAGATTTAGAAATCATGGAAGATTTGTTGATTGATTCTCAGGAGAGAGTTTATGGGCTGTTGTTGAGGGATGTTCTTGTCTGTATGTCAGTGTAGAAAGATAACATAACATCCCAGTAGTATCATTACTGGCATTAACATCACACCACGCCAACTTGTTAACCATCACAACATATTATATGAAATTGTTAACAGGACTGAAATTGTGCCCTGTCCTTTCATCATCTACAAGACAGGAACAGTCCTCCCGAGCCTCTCTTTCATATTTGCCAATGCCATAATTATTTTCATAAAATAGATCTTTTTGGTCAATTGATTCTTTTCAAAGAAAATAGAGGACAGTCTTTTTGGCTTAGTTGTTGCTTAAAACGGGTTCCTTTAGGTCCATTTTCTAAGAAACTATTAATGCTATTCACTTTTGACTTAAAATATGGTACATGAGTTATTTATCATAAAATGGCATCATTTCAAAAGGGGAGATAATCATAAAAATTATAACTTGCAAAGTTATGCTCCTTATTCAATTTAATTTTTTTGTCCTGGTTAATATTTTACATAGAACTATCAGAGTTATTTACTTTAAACTTGCTTGGTATACATGTTCACTGTCAAAATATAACATCATTTTAGAAAGACAGATAATCCTAAAATTCTTTTTAACAAAGTTTATGAAAGTTTTGCCTAGATTTGGATTTTATTTAAGTTATTTTTATAATTTTTTTTAATTTCTCAATATTCTGTTCAATGCGTTTCTAAAGGGTATATTATTTATAACCTTATAATTTATTTTCGCTCTGGCTTACTTTGAATTTCTTAGTTTACCTTATTGTTAATGTAGATTTCTCAAAAACTATCAAAGATATTCCCTTTAAAGTAAGAAGGCATTAAATTTTGATAAAATAGGATGATATTCCAAATAATGGCATTATAGTGCTAATTTTTTACATTAGACACAATCAGTAAATACTAAAAGAAAAATTAAGATATTTTAGAATGAACTTTAGTTTAACAAAATGTCAAAAGCTTTCAAGAAGTTTATGAAAATGAGGTGAATTGATCATGATTGTGTTTTATGACTTTCATTTTTTATGTAAAATTATTTACAACTTAAACTAATGCAATGTTTTTTTTCTTTATTTTATTTTTTTCCTTTTAAATTATGCTGTTTATTTATTATCATAATTGCAATGATAATAAAGGTATATAGATTTTTTTCTTGTTACAATGTGAGAAATTTCACACCTTTCCTTAAGGTGTTTTCATAGCCCCCTTTTAATCCCTGGCCATAAAACAATAAATACTCTGTTATGAACAGATAAAGTCCAATTTAGTCTTGGTCCACCCTTTTGAAGTATATTAGGTCCTTCCTCTGCCAGGATGTCCCCCTAATAAATACCCAGTTTTACCTATATTTTATTACCTGAAATAAACACACAAGAATTTTAATCCTTTTGATTTTTTTAAAGTTCAAAGTTGGAATTTTTTATGTGACTTGTAATAAAAAGTATATACATCCACATTCCATTCATTTTAATGGTTGCAGCCAATCAGATGATTCATTTGGAATCTGAATCATTAATAAAAACCCAGGTTCTTCTGGTGTCAATTCATTCATTTTGTAATGTGCATATAATTAACGACAGTGTTCTAATTTTGACATCTTTCCACTTCTATTATAATCAGGATTGGCTTTTAGTGATACATGTGTTTCTTATAATAAACAGAATAGAAGACAAAGTAGCTCCTTGGTTAATTCTGACAGATTTTTGTTTGTGTTTGAATATAAAGTTTGTGTTTGAAAAATAGTGTAAGAAGATTAACTAAAACTTGGGATTGTTATTTGCATGTAAAATGTTTTTGATTTAGACAAAACTATAGTTAGAAGTGAAAGTTAAAGTTTAGGTATTTAGACATTTTCCCTAACATCAGTTTTGTGATTATATTTGTGACTGCTATTTGATGTTATAAAGACTATATATAATTTGAAGAAAATCATCATGGTGTTGAGTTGTCCAAGCGCAGAAATTATGAGGATTTTCCTTCACTACGAAAGACGACGTAAGTTCCTTAAATGTTTTATTAAAACTACATGCCTCCAGATGATGAAACTAAAAATATATCATGACTTTTGGGAAAGAATTTATATTTACAATAACATAATAATTTAAATGTAATATATACAATAAATTTTGCTATTCTGTCACTTTATTTGAAAAAAATATAGTTACATGTATAATATATAAATAGTTTCTGTTCATGCGTAAGAAATAAATTTTTACCATTTGAAACTGATTAATATTTTTATTGTCAGATCTTTGCCTGGAACATGTTATGAACTATAAACTTCTTAATTTTACATAAGAAAGTTAATTCATACTGTATGTTTTGGAGAGGAAGTTGTTTCACTGATTATATAAAGACTTTAATTTATATAGATCTATCTAATTATAAATAATTATTGGTAGCAATTGTTAATTAAAGTTTTGTTTTATGATGTGAAATGTTACAAAATCTGATTAAAAAATTAATGGGATTATCTATCCATACATTGGTTTCCGCGCTTGAGAACTGGCTCCGGCACACTTGCATGGTTAGATTAGAGGATTAAGATTTGAATTATCTAGTTACTCAGAGAGACATTCAGGAACATTGAAAAGTTTTGAGTTGTACTTGTATAAGTTGTAAGATTATCCCACTTTGTTTAATGTTAATCAGTTAAATCCTACTTACTTACATCAGGGATTTATCACCAGTTTTCAGATTAAAGTAAATTAATCTCTGGTTACCATGGTAATTTGTAATGTATACATGGTAAAGTTTGAATGTTAGTTACAAACATAAGGATTAAATAATTTAAATGACTCCTGTCTTGTTTTGTCATGTGCAAGCTTGAAATCAAAATTTAAAATAAAATTTAGAAACATACACTATGTTGGTCTAAGTCTGGTTACTGTAGTTTGGATATACTGAATATGAAGAGAGTGTGATATTTTTGTTCAATATTCAAAATGTATGGATTTAAGTGTGGGCATATTGTTTCTAGGATACTAAATTATAACATTAAAAAAGGTATATTTCTAAGGAACCCTTTACAATTAATAAATGATGATATAATTACAAAAGAAGTAAGGACTTTAAGTGTTTATTTCTTTTGTATGCATATAATTGCAAAAGAAATAAACACCTAAAGTCCTTATCTATAGAATTTATTAGTTATAGCAAAGAGCTTTATATTTAATTTAATAATAAAAGTCTCTGGTAGAAATCGTGGATAAGGTGACTAAAATCATCAATAAGGAGATAATCTATTGATACTATGAACCTTTAAATGATGCAAATTGTCAAAGATTTCTTTTGAATGATGTTTCATTGATATAAAGCAGATGTTTACCTACAGGAGTGTATATTGCATATGAAGTTTTGATTGTGTTGTGTAATGTGTCAATCTTTTTAAAGAGGGCAGTTGATAGTGTCAGGTATCCAGCTGTTCCAATCTTTAAAACTTTTATAACCCTCTCCCTGCATGGTCATGTCCATTCCTCTTCAAGATCCTTATCATCAGTTATCTGTTCTGACTTCTGGTCTTGTAACAGCTTTCCTGTCATATTCTGGCCAAGACTCTCTAGAAAATCAGTTATATATTGGTTTTTAAAAGGCGATAAATTTGCCTATTATGCCAATGGTTAGACCTCTTGTGTTTGATGATAGGTATTTAGGTCGATTAGACCAAAAGTTGGAATAAAGTAATAAATTCTTTTAAATATTAAACTGTTTTTTGGTATTTTTAAAAATGACTTACTCGGACCTATTTAATCCCCAAGAAATGCCTTTGGTAGAAAATGAGAAATAGGTAATTAAATAATATTGCAAAAAATAATTGCCAATAGTTTTTTCTGTATTTAGATTCTTATACTGAGATTGTGTAACATTTTCACAATTATTATTTTTATTCAATGAGGGTGTCATCCAAATTTATCATGATATGAAAACGTACAGGTGTTCTGTCATTAAATCTTCATCTTGTTATCTGAAGTATTATCAGTCTCACCATTTTCAAATTTGAAGGGTAATGATCCTAACATTTTGTATCTGTGGTTACTGGTTATACAGAATTATAATCACCATGTTACATAACACTGGCACTCATTAGAATGTGATCATTCACTGTCCATGTAGCCTGTCAGAGTCTTCACATGTGTCCCAGATAAGCCTTTTAACTCTTAGTGTAATCAGAGCTCTATACAGCCCTGAGAGAGCTGTTAGTAGCACGTCTCAAGACTTCAAGTTAAATCAGTAAGAAGAAAACAAATAAACTCAGTGGTTAGGTTTATGTACTCTGGGCTGAGAGCTAGGCTTTGGGCTGTGAGTTATAGTATCTCCTGTTATCCATATTAATATTTTGGCCTAAAGATAGCACATGGCTCCATTACTTTGTTTATAGAATATTTCATTGCCTTGCCCCTGTTTTGTTATACTTTTGTGGATCCCAGCCAGGGTCCCGGTTCCACAAAATGTAAGTTTGATGAAAAACCCTGATATATTTGATTTAATTTCTGAAATGAATTCATGCTAATTAACATTAACCATACACTTTCGTTATTTTACCAGTCATCAACTGCAATAATAAAAGCATCTTTCCAGTTTCCTTTGACTATTTTAAGTTAAATATTGCAATTATTTATTACTGCCCCTGATCAATGCTTATAAGTTTTTTTGTATTTAATTAAGACAGCTGTTTGTAATTGTTAAAAAGAGAGCCTGGCTGCTCTTTGTTGATCTTGGATATGTAAACAATATATTGCCTATAGACTATTTCGACTATGATATCAGTGTATGATAGCAATCTTTAGTAAAGGTGTTGATGGGTTTTAATTAAAACAATAGATGGTCATCATTGTGATAAGTGCTATCATATTGTACATCTCTTTCATCTAGTTAGTATTAATTATATAATACAATACAACTGGTGCTTCTTGCTGATTGTTGATAAGTACCAGTATTGTTCTTATTTATCTACTAAGATGGGTTTAATTATTATAATATCTTTTGAAGATTGCTAGATAATAATATTTTATAATAGGAAATAGGGTATATTTAATATATAAAAAAACATATTTTCTTAAATTAGAAAAGGCCGATTTTGATTATTACAGACAAATGTACTTATAATTCTAATGAATTTGATAGTTCATTGCTCAAATCTGGTTACAGTGTTTTATTTTTTTTTTAAATTAGCAGTTTACTATTACCAAGATTACTAATTAAGAAGTCACAGATGGTGTTTCATGTTTTTGTTTCTTTTAATGTTTTGTAGTTTTATGGTTCATCAGATTTCTCGCACTTTTCAAGACTATATAAAAATAACCAGCTGCTGTTCTTATTCCCTTTCCTTGATGATTCTAGAGCATATCATTTACATTAATGACTTCTTTTACTTTTTTAATTGGAATTTGACTGGGTTAAAGGGCATAACATTGGTGATCTTTTCATACCAATCTGAAGGGGAAATTAGCATATTTAAGTGAGGTGGTAGCAAACAAAACAATACAAATCAAGAGCAGAAATTTCAGTAGAAGAAAAAGTGTCAGAGCCATCTCAAGATACAAATCTAAAGGACAAAATTTAAGGCTCTGAATTTTCACACAAGAAAAAGATTGATATTAAAAACTGGCAATATATGGGCGGAGTATTTCAGGGTCATATTTTGGATTGTTTTTCGGATAACACAATAACCCATTATCAATAACTCTTTATCCATCAAAACAATAAATTATAGCTTCAGTTTGACACAAAGTTCAGAATCTTGAAACATTTATCAATGACCTTTCCTGTCAAATTATGCAACTTTGTGTCAATATGTCTGAACAACTGATGTTAAATTCAGGGACATTGATTGCCCTAGGTTTTGAAGGGACAATATTTTGTTTTGGGACAGGTTTTTGTCAGGTCAATATTTATACCTTATCAGTCTTTTTTGTCATTGATGAATTCTTTATAATCATCACCTTCTGTATCACTTCTTGTGGATTTGAAAATGTTAAATTGTTTTGGAGGGGAAAAAAGAAATGTTGAACATACCAGGAAATTTTGACATTTTTATCATTCATTTTAAATTTGCTTTAGTGGATGCCAGTTATTTTCAATTTTTGGTTGATTTTTTTAGGTGGGGATAGAAATTTGTCAATGATGTTATTTTAAGAATTAAATTCCAGTCAATCTGATTAATATATCAGATGGGTATTGTTTATTTTGAGAAATAAAAGTCATGAACTTTGTCAAATTGTTGTACAAAACAAATATATAATACATAAAAAAATAATATAAAAAAAAATAAATAAGATGCTGATGCCTAATTTCAGTAGAAAATTTTGGTAGAAAATATTAGGTATTAAAAGTTTTGATTATAAATTTGTGGTGAAAGATTTTTAAATTTAACAGCTGGGTTTTATTAATGTACAGGCACTCAAGTTCTTGAAATAAATTCTGCCATTTAATGGTTTTGAGGTTTAAATCAAGGTGCTAGCATCTCTGTAAAACTTTCTAAATGGCAGCTAAAAGGGGCCAAAATTGATCCTTGAGGGGGAGGAAGAGTGCAGAAAATTATCATAAAAATGGCAATAAACTTCTAAAAGGGAAATCATAAACATTTTAAATGATAGTCCTATTATATGAGGTGTCAAGTTGTTATGAAAACTGAATTATCTCAAGGCTACAACAAGTTCAGATAAAGTTGTGTTGCAATAAACTAGACTAAAGATAGTAGCCAAATTAATTCATTCTGTGAGAGACAATAAAATTATAAAACTGGACATTTTAATTACTACACATGTAGTTGCTGGACACATTTAAATGGTTACCTGAAACAATAAAAAAAATGCAAGTGACATTTTAATGTTTCTATGGGTGCTTTTTATTACCTGAGAAAACATTTATAAATGGAGAAAAAGTTAGAACATATTAGATTGTGGCTAGGATGGACATTCTTTCTTTTGTTATTGTCAATTTTCTTGCTTTGATGTAGAGTGAAATTACCATTATGATAGTCTTGAGGTCCATGCATGGTGAAACAAATGAATTTAGTTTATAAAGACAAATCACAGCTTACAGAGACAATGTCCTAAAGTTTATGTCTGAATCTTTATTTTGCTTGTTGGTAGCAACAGTTTTACTTATCCTTTAAAGGTGACATTAGTGCAGACCAATATTGATTCATTCGGACTTAAAAACCCAAAGATAAAAAAATTGCTAGAATATGTTATAGAATGACTGCATGTAATACAGTTGTTTATCCAAAATATTACATTATTTTTAAAACACCAAACTATGGTTTACAGTCTGTTTAACATATTAAAGATTAATGAAAAAAATATGTAATAAAAGCAATCTTACAGTCATACAGAAATGATATATCCTCTGAGAATCACTGTAAAGACTACAGATGCCTTCCTGCCTGAAAGCAATATTATACTCTGATATATTGACTGACTAATCCAGTTACCTCTCTGGCGTGGGTTCGATCCCCGGGAGATGCTTTGGTAGTTTAGCGCGGAGGAAGGTAGTCTATAGCCCCTGCGAGAATTCCATGAATAATTCATGAACTGTTCATGAACATATTCATGGACAAGTTCATGAATGTGCATGAACAACAAATGAGACTTTTTTTCGTTCACGGACAATTCATGAATCAAGATATTCATGAACATGTTCATGAATATATGTTCGTTAACATTCATGAATATATCGATTCATGAATTGTCCATGAAAGAAAAAAGTCTCATTTGTTGTTCATGCACATTCATGAACTTGTTCAAATGCACATTCATGAAATTGTTCATGAATATGTTCATGAACAATTCAAAAACTTCTCCCAGGGGTCATAATAATAATTTTTTAGTACAAATACAAAACACAAAAGCCCATTACACAGGTAATGAAACTTGTTAAACACTGTGCTCATTGATTCCCTATGTACAAATTGAATTGTCATTAGAATTCACGACTTGCCAGTTTGCTCTTCAATTTATTTCTTTGACACAATTGCTTTGATGTAGAGTGAAATTACCTTCATT